GGGGGGGGGGGGGGGGGGAGCGACGGTAGGGAAAGCGCGATATTGATCAAGTACAATAAAATCATCGAAAGAAGGCAGGAAACTCGAGTTATTGGCGAAAGATACCCGAGATATACTCTGGTGATTTCCTTCAGAGCAAAACGAAAACCTGGGTGCCCTTAAGGGCGAAAAGTGCCGCGGGAGAGATAAGCATAGCTCATAGTGAACGCAGTGATGCACCATAGACAGCATCATAGCAGCATAGCAGCATAGCAGCATAACAGCATAGCAGCATAGCAGCATAGCAGCATAACAGCATAACAGCAAGGCGCATGCAGGTACCATACCAAATCAACCACGAACTCAGCACAAAGCCCTCTTCCCTTTGCCCAACCTCATCATCCACGAGACAAGAGCACGGAAAACATGACGCCAGCAATCTCCACTTCTGCCAAAACCTCACCATCCACGAGGGCAGGGAAACTTCAACGCCGCTTCTGCCAAACCTCATTATCCACGAGAGCACATATAAGCCTACGCCAGCAACTCCACTTTCACCCAACCCCATCATGCACAAGAGCACGGGCAGCAACTAACGCCAGCAACTCCAATTGACCGCACCTTCGCGGCTTCTCCATCACCCCCTTCCCCGGCGGTCGGACTGCCTAAGACAGCAACCTCGTGGCCGTCCGGGTTGTTCTGGTTGGTGCTGCTGTCGAGGTTGTTCTGGATGTGGCTGCTGCTGTTGTCCAGGTGCGCTTGTCTTCGGCGTTGAGAAGCGTTGGCGTCTCTCGACAGCTTCATGTACTCGTTCTTGATCATGTTCTCGCTTCGGTCTGCGACAAAAAAAAGTAGAAATATAATCAAGGTATATGTATGATTGGTGTACAGCGGGGGGAAGGGGGGGGTACCAATAGTCGTGTATGCCGTAGTCATTCTTGATCATGTCCTCGCTCTGGCCTGCGACACACACACACACCAAAAGGAGCGCGATTGGTGTACAGTGGTGGGGGGGGGCGGTTTGTAGCGACTCCCTGTTTAGCGACATGCCCTGTTTAGCGACATGCCCTGTTTAGCGACCACAAAACCAGGTCGTACCCAGGGTGGTGTATTTGCTAGTATACGATTGTTAGTTCGAGTAGGCGACCCGCCCTGAATAGCGGCCACATTTCGTCGTGACACTCGGAGCCGCTAAACACCGCACACTGTACGTTATTTCTGTCGCGGTGAAGACGATCCCAAGCGACATACAGGTTTGCGAAAAAAAAAAGGGGTACGGTGGTGTGCGCTGTTGTTGCAGGCGGTTAAGGCAATCAATTTTCAAGGCAATCCCAAGCGACATACATGTACCGGTCCGTAAAAAGAACGAAACGGGTGCGGCGATGTACGCTATTGCTGCGGCGGTTAAGATGATCAAAGCTCAAGGCAGGCAGAAGTTGCATGGAACATTCCCCGGATTGGCCTTCATAATGCAACAGCAGTCTCTCCTTGCCCGAATATTCTTCCCCAATAGTGTGGGACAAGACTTCGCCTACAATAACGTGAAGATCAAATTATTGACAAGCGCCACTCCTTTGCGTGCGATTGGATGGTCGCGGTTCACGCGGGATGTCAGTTGTTTTCATATTTGCATTGGTGTGGAAGTTGCCAACCGTACACTCAACCAAGCACACAACGTACAAGCCGCACCCTACCCCACCTTACACAACCCGAAACTATTGTACGTCTGCTTACGTACGTACTGGTATCCGTAGAAGAAGACCGAAGCGAAAGCGGGAAAAATTGATACCGTGTGTACTGGTACCACCTCAGATGGAAACGACATCGTTTGTTATTGTCACTAGTGTTCCGTATCGCATATCGGATGAGCGATATATTTTGCGATCTGCGATACATATATATATATATATAGGATATTTTTTTATCATATCGTGCGATGTCGATACGATCTCTCGGTATTTATCCGATATCATGCGATATCGATACGATATCTCGATATCTTGCTTCCAAATCCTGCGAGAACGCACGGCCATGAACGATGTTACTACATCCAGTGGCTGCGTTTGTGTTCAGCGGTATTCATACGCACTCTTCGTTTTCACGCGCCAGACAGAGCGTCAGTGTCATGACAGTGACCAATATGTTGTTATGGTTCATCAGGTTTCAGATAGGAGCAAGAAAAGGCAAGACGTGGATTGCGTTGGGTGATTCGTTGCGTTTGGGGACTGATGCTTGAAAACAACGTTCAGACAAGCTACGGAAGTTGACACCCGGCGGGTGACCAGACGTGAACGTTCGATAATATTCCTGCCGATCTTATGGGCGGCGTCGGCGCAAGCTCGCGGGCTCTTTTCCGGAGAGAGCGTTTGTCTGGTGCACACAATAATAAAAGGAGTGACAACTTCCTTTACATGGTGAGAGTACTGTTGTAGCAACATAAATTGACAGGAAAGTAGAGAGCCTTCCGCGTCGAGTCCATCAAACCCACAGCAGTATTGTTGTTGTTGTTATCGTCATATTAAGAACCGTTCCGATCTCTCTCTACCCACATGTTCCCCGTAGATCCCGGAGATCCGTGTTCTGCCGAAGACACACAAACAACCCCCCTATTACTCGGTACGAGATACGATCGGCGAAGAAAAGCTCCTCACGTATCGCGGCACCATGTCTTCATCGCCCAAAACCCGGCATCAATCATCCATCATATCCAAAGTCGCTTCACAACACACCTCTCTCTCAACTCGGATTGGTCTAGCGTCATCGAAATATCAACCACCTCGAGAAAATATCGTGTAAACAAAATCCCAAGCAGCGAAAAAAAAAACGATCCCTGGAAAGGCTGCAAAGTGGCTCGAGTTTTTCCCGCCGGTTGTGCCTGTCGCCGCATCAAGATTTGCAAAGCGGTGCGTGTTGTATGTGTGTGGCGTTGGAGACACTCGCGGATGACTGGTGCTCGCTGCTCTAGTCCCCGTTTGTGGTCACCCCATGGACGTTGCGTATCCCACATCCTGTCGATATGACCGGGATATCTGATATATATCCCGATATCGTATCGATATCGCATGATATGAGATATGAGATTGTATCCAGATATCGTATCCATATCCCGGCTTTTGGGGGGAATTATATCCATATCGTATCTTGGCGTTCTCAAATGCGATACGGAACACTAGTTGTCACGCTATTTGGCCGTTTTTTTCGGGATGTGTTGTACGTGTATTTCGCCGCCTTTTTTCCGGCTCAGATATACGTGTGTGTGCACAAGACCGTGTGCGTGCATGATGGCACCGGGGTGCGTGTATACAACACCTGTGTGCACTTCATCGGGTATCGCACCGGTCAGAGAGATCGTACCGGGGTGCCTTGAAAACTCTAAGCGAAATGATTTAATCGCATTTCCGCA